AGTGGTTGACATTGGTAGCTGGGCACCATCTAGGTCTTCTGGTCTCATAGTCGTAGAGGCTGAGGATCACATGGTACACCAGTTGCCTAGGCAGTAATCTTTTATGGTAGCATATTATCAGGTTTTCTCTCCTGGGGAGCCACTGATGAGTTTGAACCATTGACCTTTAGGTTAGCAGCTGAGCACTAATTATCACCACCAAGGCTCCCACCACTAGAGCAGTGGAGTAGAAATACAGGTTAAGTCCTAGAAAGACCAGGGTTCAAATCCTAGCTTGACAACTTTTAGTTGTTGAGCCAGTGACTAAGGAGCGGTGGTGGTACAGTGCCTAAGGCATTCGACTGCTAACCAGAAGGTTGGCAGTTCAAACCCACCGGATATTCCGTGGAAGGAAGACTGGGCAATCTACTTCTATAAAGATTTACCACCTCAGAAACCCAAAGAAGTCACTGTGAGTCGGAATTGACTCAATGGCAGTAAGTTTGATTTTAGTTTTGGAGCAAGTGACTACAGCCCTTGAGCCTTTACAATGGAAATCTTCAAAAACAATCGATATTGGGGATCATTGGATGAACTGAATGCAAATGCCAGATCCTTAGCAAGTACCCCAAAATGTGGCTACTATCATTACAGTAAGGAACTCTGGAGGTGGAGTGGGTAAGGATTTGGCTGCTAACCAGAAGGTCAGAAGGTCAGAAGGTCAAACCCACCAGGCTGCTCCATGGAAGAAGATGGGGCAATCTACTTCCGTAAAGATTTACAGCTTCACAAACCCAAAGGGGGTCACCATGAGTTGGAATTAACTCGAAGGCAGTGAGTTTGGTTGTTTTCATCATTATTATAAGCTCTCTGAAGACATTACAGACTACTATGCTTTTTCTATATCGTCGTAAACATCTACAAAATGAGGACAAGAATCACTGTCTCAGAAAAGTTCTCTCACAAGTGAGGAAGATGTGTGAGCTGCTGAGTGGCACAGATGGTGTGCTACAACTTCCCCTAACGCCAGGCTGGTGGCTCTCATGCTCTGCTCATGTTAGCTTTCCCTCGGGGGCTCCTTAAGCTCCCCATGCCCAGGCCACACACTGTCCCAACTAAATTAGAATCTTTGGGAACAGGACCCAAGCATCAACATTTTAAAAACTTTTCGGGTGATTCTGCCAAATGTGAGCAGCCTTGTAGATGTTCTCCGTGGTGACCAGGAAACAACACCGGGCTGGGCCCTGGGGGTCTGGGCTCTCCGGTTCTACTGCTCTCTGCCCACAGGACCACCGTGGGGAAGTCACTCTAGCTCTGCAGACCTCAGTGCCCTTATCAGTAAATGTGTGGGTTAGAAAGTGGCAAACGCTGTGTTATATCATTTACAACAACAACAACAAAAAATAGGTAACAAATAAATGCATGGGTTACCAAACCTATCTCTAAGAATCTTTCCACCTCTCAAAGTCCTAACAATGCCAATCATTAATTAAAGGCTGATAGGAACTTCTAGGTGGCTGCCTATGACATGGAGCCAGGGACAGGTATCAACTGCCTAATACCCCCGAGGCCACAGACTTGTGCCTGTTCCCCCCTTCCATTCAGAGTATTTATCCAAGCGTGTGGCAAAGACTAAGGCCACGAGACTCCCCCAGGGTGCAGGTTTCAAACTTAGAGGATACATCAGACTGGGGGGTGGGGGGGTGGCAGATGGAGGGTAGCGCCAGGAATCTAGACTTAAATAAGCCCCAACACAAGTCCCTCTGCCCTCTGCCCTCTAAAGTCTGCGCTCGTAAGATCTGCTAGGGAGCGACCAACCTCACATGGCCACAAGCAACATCCTTACCTAGCCCCTGTTGGGCCCTTGCCTTCAGTAAGTTGGCCGCTCCTGTGTGGGCGTCCCTCGCCCCCAGGAAGCTCTCCCGTTGTGACCAACTCTCACCTGTAATCTTGCCAAGATGCTGGCTTTCTTGGAGTTGGAGGAGTAGCTCCTGGAGCAGGAGACACTGCAAAACCGCTTGGTCTTGGAGAAGAAGGCTTCTCTGGTGCCCACGATACCACACATCTCACAGACAGCTGGAAGAGAACTTAGCAAGTGACTCTCCCAATAAGGGTCACCCCAAATCACACAAAGCAAGGGGCCTTTCAAACCCGGGCCTCACATTAACCAGGTGAGCCCAGCCCCCACTGCAGGCGATGGAACGACACGAGGAGGCGGTGGTTCTGGTGTATACGTGTGAACCCATTTCACGAAGCTACCCCACCTGGCATCCGTTGGCTCTGTGCGTCACCAGTAACCCACCCACTGCCGTCAAGTCAGTTCAGACTCACAGTGACCCTACCAGACAGTGAAGAACTGTCCCATAGGGTTTCCAAGGCTACAAATCTTTATGGAAGTAGACCACCACATCTTTCTCCCATGGTGTCAACAGCAGGGCTGAAGAAAACCATGGGGACCACTGGGGAAAGAGGAGAAGGGTGACAAGTGTACAAGAGGAGAAAATGTGAGGAAAAATATAGGGAGCAAAGGTCCAGAGTCACTTAATCTCTGTGGGTCTATTTTCTCGTTGACAAAGGAGACTGAGCTAGACCAGTGTTCTCAACCTGGACTTCACCTGAAGACTACCTGGAGAGTTTTTGAAAAGCCCAAGCCAGAGACTCTACTTAACCAGTGTGTGGTGGGAACTGGCACCTGAGTTTTGTTAAAAGCTCAGATGACTCTGATTTGCAGCCAGGCTAGCAAAGCCCTGGACTGGGCGGTGCCTAGTGAGCAGTTCCTTCGAGCTCTACATTTCTAAGATTCAAAGAAAAGGGCTGCAATAAGACAGAAAGGAGAAAGATAAAAGAAAGCAGAGTGAGGAAGAGGCAGCCAGGATAGAAAGAAATGAAATTCAATGGCAAAGACCATGAGGTTACTCTTCTGGAGGGGGTGGGGAGCCGGGAATGGGAGTGCTGTCACACACAGGCTCACCTGCCCCTGTTCACAGGCAGCCCCCACGGGAGGTTCTGGCCCAGGTGCTCAGCAGCTGCCCAAACATCACAACTGGCTTCCAGATGATCCCAGGGGTCTTCTCTGCGCCCTCCACACCCACCCCACCCCAATCGTCTTACCCAGAAGTCAGTTTATTCCGTATTCCTCCCACCCCCCTTGCAACGCACAGGCTGTATCTCTCCCTTCCCAGAGTGTAATCAGAACACATCAGGTGCCCTGTTTCCTCAACATCCAGACTTAGAAACCCACCGGCTCACTCACACCAATGGCTGGCAAAGCAGCACCATGCTGATGGCTGGAACCACACAGGCTGAGTCACTACTGGCTGTACGAAAGGAGGAATGAAACCACAGCCTGAAACCACACTGCAGCAGAGGACACAGCCCTGACGGCTGGCCACCCGAGGTGCTCCTCAGACACCCAACCTCCGGACATCAGACCAAACACCCTGGATGGCCTGCAGCCCCCTCTTCACCCAGGACCTCCTGACCCCTCCCCATCTCCAGGGCACACTCTGAACACACCTGGTTCAGACCCACTGCCATCCAACGAGCGGGGAGTCCCAGGGTTGAGCAAGTGCAGTGGGGAGGTGGGCAGCTCCCCAGCTTCCCGATCCTCGTTCTCGGCCTCACTCGACTCCTCCAGGTAGGAGCTGCTCTCACTGCCCGCACTGCTGTTGTAGGCCCGGAAACTGTCATAGCCACCAAAGAGCTCCAAGTCATCTTCCTCTTCCTCTTCCATGGGTTCTGAAGATGGGGTCTCCTGGTGGAGAGAAGACACAGAGCAGTCAGGAGGAAGCACGGTTGGCTTAGTGTGGGGAAAGGAGGCAGGGTGCAGACTTGCTATCAACCCCCTTCCTAGTTCTTTGTCAAATCAACACTTTTGGGCCCCTTTCCACACACACCAGGATCATTATCCCTGTTTGTACCACACTTCTCCACAACTCAACACAAGGCTTCATAAAAACCCCAAATCCCAAACCCACTGCCATCAAACCGATTCTGACTCAGAGCAATCCTATGGACAGAGCAGAATTGCCCTATGGGGTGTCCAAGGTCGTCATCTTTATGGGAGCTGATTGCCACATCTTTCTCCAACGTGGAGCAGATGGTGGGTTCAAACCACCAACCTTTCTGTTAGCAACCAGGTGCTAAGCTATTGCACTACCAGGGGTCCTACAAAGAGCTTTATGTTGTTCTTGTTGTTATGTGCCGTCGAGTCGGACCCGACTCATAGCGACCCCTCCTTGGGTTGCTAAAGCAGTATCACTACGGAAGTAGATTGCCCAACCTTCCTCCCGAGGAGTGGCTGATGGGTTTGAACCACCAGCCTTCTGGTTAGCAGTCAAGTGGCTTAGGCACTGTGCTACCAGAGCTCCTGACAAAGAGCTTTATAGGATAGAAAATAAATGTTAGGAATTCACCAACTTCCTTCTTTGGATTTCAAATGCTATTTTACCATGGTTCCAATGGAAAACAACACTGAAAATGCCCTGTGGAAGATGCCTCATGAAGACTAAGGGAGAGACGGTATGTATTAGAAACTCATCTTCCCCATCAGCATATGTACATCAAAAGAATCTCAACTCAAATGCACTGTAAGTCAGGGGAAAGCAATGAACACGGAACCCGGACTGTACTGAGCAGGACCGGAGACACACGGGACACACTGACTGCTATGGCACACTGGTATGCACCACCATTTTGGATTAAACTCCTACCCTAACTAGCTGTGAGTCCTTGGGCAAGGCACTGAACCTCTCTGGGCCTCAGTTTTCTCAACTATCAATTCACTACTGTCAAGTCAGATCTGACTCATAGCGACCCCTCCTTGGGTTTCCGAGGTGGTGACACTACGAAAATAGATTGCCCAACCTTCCTTCCAAGGAGTGGCTGGTGGGTTTGAACTGCCAACCTTCTGGTTAGCAAATGCCTTAGGCACTACACTAATAAGAAAAATATTTGGCTTACAGGAGTAGCTGGGATATAAATGAGATACTGTAGATGGCTAAGGCACTTGACTGCTAACCAGAAGGCTGGCGGTTCAAAACCACCAGCCACTCCTCAGAAGGAAGACTGGGCAATCTACTTCCATAGAGATACCACCTCAGAAACCCAAAGAGGGGCTGCTATGACTGGACAGCAGCGAGTGAGTGAGTGAGGAGGTGGCTCTCTACCTAGCATCTAGCAGAAGTGAAGAGTCTGGAATCTGGACCAGAGCCCCGAACTATCTCTGCGGCTCACTCCAGGGGGCTTGGTGGTGCCACGGTGAAACGCTCAGCTGCTAACCAAAAGGTGGGTGGTGGAACTCACCAGTGGCTCCAGAGGAGGACAAAAAGACCTGGTGCTCCCATAAAGGTCACAGCCTATGAAACCCTATGAGGAAGTTCTAATCTCTAAATACACGGGGGTCGCTAGGAGTTGGAATCGACTCAACAGCTACAATGACAACACCACTGCTTACTGGGTACACGGTCTGCATCAAGTCCATCTCTCAGTGCCTCACTTTCAGGATCGGTAAAATGAGGAGAATACGACCCATTTCAAAGGATTTGGGGGAGAAGAAAGAATTAATACAGGAAAAGTCCTCAGAACAGTGACCTGCACACAATCAGCACAAAATGTTGCCACTTATCGTCACTAGTTATATGATTTTGACAAGGTTAATTTTATGGATTTTATTTGGTTTTGAAAAGATCCTTTTAACCCTGCAAGTCTGGAGGAAAAAAAAATGGAAGAGGTAAAAGGGTGGGTTCTCAAATCAGATTTCCATGGGTGAGAATTTTGACCCCACGACTCATTAACTGTGATTTGGTGCAAGACACTTAAGCTTGCCACCAAGTTCCACAGTGACCCTTGTTGGGTAACAACAAGCTTTCTTGGGGGGAGTGGTTGTGAAGATGTAAGAAAACGCCGGAACCCGCGGGAAGAGAAGTTAAGGTGTAAGCTCTGATTACTATTCTGCACTTCACCACCTTTAACTGTAGCGTTTTTGACCCATTCCACTTTCTAACTGCAACTTCGTATATAAATGTGGTCCAGAGAAAACCGGATGCTAATATAGGGCCCAGAAGACAACTGAGCAAAGCATTTAACAGTAGAAAAAGCATATGGGAGCTCTGGTAGCATAGTGGCTAAGATCACTTGCCTGCTAACCAGACGACTGGCGGTTCAAACCCACCAGCCACTCCTCGGAAGGAAGGTTGGGCAATCCTACTTCCGTAGTGATACTGCCTCGGAAACCCAAGGAGGGGTCGCTATGAGTCGGGGCCGACTCGACGGCACATAACAACAGCAACAGAAGACAACTGAGCAAAGCGTTTAACAGTAGAAAAAGCATAACAGGTAGGGTTTGGAGCCTGACAGACTTACCACCCCCTTCCTTCATTTTCCTCGGGAATCGCAACGCCTCGCTAAGCTTCAGAGGCTTTGACCACGTTAAGAACGAACCGTTAACACTGGATTGTCGTGAGTCTCTGCGAGATGACGCACGTGACTACGCCAGGCACGAAGTAAGTGCTCATTAAACTTTCCGCTCCCTTCACTTCACGCGAGGATGTGACTGGCCTCACAATCCCTAAAGCATACGACCACGACCGCCACCACGACACGGAGAGCACAAAGACTCAGGAGAGCTCAGATCCTGAGTCCAGCGCCCCCTCTCCCAGGGCCGCGAGGCAGCTCCCTTCTCAACCTCTCGCGCGACGTCCAGCCCAGCCGGGCGGGAGCAAAAGGCTAGGCCAATCGCTCGAGCTCCCGGCTCAGCCCAAGTACATCAGTGGATCTGTCTCTCCACCTTCCAGGCTTCGCTAAAAAGCCGAGGAACGGTTCCCGTTCTCATTCGCGCTAAGCCCTCTCCCTCTCACCTCGTTACCCCGGGGCTTCTCCATAAGACCTAACACAGATTCTCCAACCGTCACCGAGTGTAAGGAGCCATATTGCTCTCGTCGCGCTCCCCGAGCGCACTCATTGGCTGCTTCCCTGCAGGAAAGCGGATAAGCCTCTTCCGCGCTGACTCGCGCCCCTCCGCCCACTGCGTGTCCCAGAGGTCGCGGGCGGTTGTGGGACTTAGAGTTCCCAGGCCCGTAGCCATAAAACCAAACGCAAGTTCACTGCCCTGGAGTCGGATCCGACTCATAGCGACCCCTCCTTGGGTTTCCGAGGCAGTTTCACTACGGAAGTAGATTGCCCAACCTTCTTTGCAAGGACTAGCTGGTATGTTTGAACCACCAGCCTTCTCGTTTAGCAGTCGAGTACCTTAGTCACTATGCTACTGTTGTTGTTGTTATGTGCCATCGAGTCGGCCCCAACTCATAGCGACCCCTCCTTGGGTTTCCGAGGCAGTATCACTACGGAAGTAGGATTGCCCAACCTTCCTTCCGAGGAGTGGCTGGTGGGTTTGAACCACCAGCCTTCTGGTTAGCAGTCAAGTGCTTTAGCCACTATGCTACCAGAGCTCCCATAGCTCCCATAGTGACGTGTTTTTCCAAAGTGCCTGGCGTCAACTTACTCCACACCAGTCTCCATCTCCAACCCTGGTCCTTGTTGTTGTTGTTGTTAGGTGCTATCCAGTTATCTCTGACTCATAGCGACCTGATGCACAGCAGAACGAACTACTGCCCAGTACTGAGCCATCCTCAGGATCGTTGCCATACCTGAGCCCATAGTGGAGCCATTGTGTCAACCCATCTCGTTGAGGGCCTTCCCGTTTTTCATTGACCATCCACTTTACCAAGCATAGCATTCTTCTCCAGGGAATGGTCCCTTCTGATAACATAAAGTAGGTGAGATGAAGTCTGGTCATTCTCACTCCCAAGGAGCCTTCCAGCTGAGCTTCTTTCAGGACACATTGGTTAGTCCTTTTAGCAGACCATGGCACTGTTAGCATTCTTCTCCAACACAACGCAAAAGCGTCATTCTTCTTCCATCTTCCTTATTCATTGTCCAGAGGTGACTGAAAATACCATGGCTTGGGATAGGTGCACCTTAGTCTTCAAGGAGACATCTTTGCTCTTCAGCACTTGAAAGAGGTCTTTTGCAGCAGATTTGCCCAAAGCAATATGTCATCTCATGTCTTGACTGCTGCTTTCACTGGTATTGATTGTAGAACCAAGTAATCTGACATCATGGACAACTTTAATCTTTAATCCGTCCACCATGAAGCTGTTTATTGGTCCAGTTGTGAGGATTTTTGTTTTCTTTATATTGAGGTGTACCCATACTGAAGACTGTAGTCTTTAATCTTCATCGGTAAGTGCTTCAAGTCATCCTCACTTTCAGCAAGCGAAGTTGTGTCTTCTGTGAATCTCAGGTTGTTAATGAGTCTTCCTCCCAATCCTGATGCCACATTCTACTTCATATAATCCAGCTTCTCAGATTATCTGCTCGGCATACAAGTTGAGTAAGTATGGTGAAAGGATACAACCTTGACGCATGCCCCTCTTGAATCTGAACCATGTAGTATCCCCTTGTTTTGTTCAAATGACAGCCTCCTGATCTATGTGTAGGTTCCTCATGAGTATAATCAAATGTGAAATTCTTATTCTTCTCAATGTTATCCATATTTTTTTATGATCCACACAATCGAATAATTTTGCATAGTCAATAAAACGTAAGTAAACATCTTTTTGGTATTCTTTGCTTTCATCTAAGATACATCTGACATCAGCAATGACATCCCTTGTTCCAAGTCCTCTTCTGAATCCAGCTTACATTTTTGGAAGCTCTCTGTCAATATACTACTGCAACCATTTTTGAATTATCTCAGTAAGATTTTACTTGCATGTGATATTAATTATGTTGTTCAATAATTTCCACATTCTGTGGGATCACCTTTCTTTGAAATGGGTACAAATATGAATCTCTTCCAGTCAGTTGGCCAGGTAGCTGTCTTCCAAATCTCTTGGCATAACCGAGTGAGTGCCTCCAACAGGGCATCCATTTGTTGAACCATC